GTAGCCAGTATTGTAAAACGTACGCGAGCACACGGCAGATGCACACATAAAGCACCAGTTTCTGAGCAGCTGAGCAGCTGAGCGACAGCGCCAGCGCCATCGGCTATGAATGGACAAACCGGTGAGGTGGTCGCAAAAAGTGCGCCGTGTGGCGGGTTCAAATGGCACTAATACCAGCAATACGTCTGCGTAAAAATTTCAATTGCAGAGCGTTCGAGCGTATGAACGGAGAGTAATTCAGCTTGTACTCGAACACATAATCGAAACAAAGGTAGCTAGTACAAAGCCAGATAAGCAGACCGGTAGGAATGCGCAAGCATTTTGTGGTCGGCTGCTACTGACGTGGGCACCAGAGAATTCATTAGCTAGAGGCAAAACCTCCATCTTGGCACGTCAGTAGCCATCTCTGCGAACTTAGAGCCGAGATCCAGGACTAAAAACAAGGTGGAGAAGGTGGTCTCTCGATTTATCCTGCTATAAATGACTGTCCAATCACTAGATACCAGTTGCAGAGGAAGTGCTTCAGCTGCCTCACGAGACTCGCATTACTCTGGCGCACTTAAGGTAGGGATATTGAAATTTATCTACACTAGATTCCGACATACCCAAACGTACATACGAATTTCCTACATTTGAAGTTCACCGCATGACACTAACTTCACTTGCCTATTTAAACTAACTCAACTAACATCTCTCTCCCTTTCGTCCGATTCCTTCAAAACAGCACATTTCCTGGGCCTACCGTTAACTGACTAAAGATTTGCTGATTTAGGATGGTTAAGTAGCCGTAGCAGCAATAGTGAGCGCTAACTGTTAAAAAATCATAGGCGTTCTCACATTTCCAATCTTTTTAGATTTTTAGGTTGATAACTGGCGTCCCTAAATTGGAGCGCTAAGCGTTGCGTTTTCCATTGTCAACGAGGGTCAGCGCGCGCTATCCCCAAATCAACGCTCCGTAATTTTCCATGTTTCTCAGGTCCTCTCGTTTTTATTATCGTTTCCTCTTTCACTTTTTTGTCCTTTCTCTTTATTTCCGTCATGATTCAGACACACTTCCCAAGTTGTTGTTTTTTTTTTGTTGTTTAACATAAGTATTTGGGTCGTTCTTAAAAAACATGACCATTCTGAATTTTGTAATTTT